ATCCTCTAATCTCAATGATACTCAATAGTTTAAAAATTCAAGCTCTCAAACTCTATAGTTTTATTTTTAGCCCCACGTAATGAAAACTTTTTGAATCAAGTAATCAAGAACTTATATTGTACAAGTTATGAAAATTGATGTTGGTATGTCAGTTTCAGATTCAAAAGCTTGCAATGGTTGAAAAGTTTGTATTTTCGTTTGTAAAAAATAAAAGATGTTATAAACTTAATTTCTTTCACTTTTAAAGTTTAAGAGGTCGAAAAGCTTTGGATATAGGCTCATAGAGCTTGCTTAGATCGACAAGTGTACATAATTTAGGGGTCATGGAGCTTAATAATTAGAGTTGTAAGGGTTGTGTGATTAGAAATCACCAATGTCTGAGGCTATAGAATTGAAAAGCTCCAATAAACATAGGAAGGAAGGGGGAGGTATTTTTAATTCTCTCACATAATCACGAGCTATCCAATATTCATGTTATTGGGCGATTGAGTTTTAAAAGCTCTCATCGCCTTGTATACTGCATGTACTTTATCCATTTGTAAAGCTCGGGAAAAAATATTTACGCAATAAATCAACACGGATACTAGCGATTGTCGTACTTTGCCTTAATTTTTAATTCATTTGGCTATGCATTGTTACGCAATAACGTCGTGTACGCATAACCGAAAAAATAAAATAATCCGCGCGCGGGATGATCCCCACCATCGGATCTTATAGCTTAAATTACGTATTCGGTAACCCTCGTGCCAAAATCAAAAAGTGAGCGTACAATGAAACTCACGCAATTATCTCGCGTCTAAAATGAAGAACACCTCGCAAATCACGACGAGTGGAAGCCATGTAATCAATTTTCCAGACACCCCAACTCCGCCAACCACCGCCGTATACCAGTGGAGCTCTCGGCTAAAAAACAATCCCTCGCCCTCGGCACGCAAGACACGGAAGCGTTTATACCAAACGAGCTCTTCGCGAGTTTCGGAATACAAGCACGCAACAGCGAGTATACACATAATATACACACTGCACTCGCGCACAAAACAGGCGTTTTAACCCCACACCTACACATACTCTGCATATATACCAGCGCACGGCGCGACAAGGGGTCTCGACAAGGCTGGCTCTCTCGTGTGAGTATATATTTTACACTCACCTATATTTACAAGGGCTGATACCCTGTGTACGCGCGTTCCGGACTTAACTCCCCAAAGGGCTTTATATATATATATTATATATACGTTCCGCGCGTGGTGTGCCGGCAGCTTAGCCGGGTAGTCTCTCTATACCCTCTCTCTGTTTTAGCCCCCTTCATAGACGATTAATCCAGTTTACTTTCTTATACATGTATATACCCATATACATATATTATTTGTGTATAGTTGTACTCTTATTACACAGTGATTGGCGCGTATACGTTTCATGTGTTGCAAGAGTCCCGTGCCCGTTTCAAGTTCGAAGGGAATCCGCACAACAGATTTCGATGTACATGTATATGGAGGTGGTATGTCTGTCTCTGCGCGTATCGGCACCAAGAAGCGCAACAATCTATCGATTATGGGCGATTCGACGATTCATTGTAGATTATTTTAAGTGTCGTGCCTTTATGTATACGTATACGTGGGCTTTCATTTGCAAAATATCCAAGGATCCCTACGAATATTCACATCCTGTTTTTAAAAACGATAAGCTATGCAATTACACTTTTACATATGGTTGCAACTAGTAGTACGTGGCAGAGAGCTTGTCATCCAACGGAGGGATGGCGTGAAAGGATATAGATTTGTGCAGAGAGTATAGGTACAAAGTGTTGTAAAGAGTAAAATAAAAGTGGCGAGCCAAATCTATAGCCAAACAACTTTGTACGTGTCCTTATACCCTCGTGACGCTTAACCATATGAAGGCGCAGTTTTACGTGACTCCTTAGACATCGTGCTTCGGGAGGAACACTTTTTTTATCGAGGGGACTATATGCTTGCCTGCGCGAATAGACAGACTTTCTCTCGTTCTATAAATTGTGTAAGAGAGACGAAAATAGGGTAGAAAAAAAAAAAAGAAAAACAACAAGTACACACGCGTTTGTGACGTGCCGTAGAGAAAAGATAGAAAGAGAGAAGGGTGGAGAGATCAAAAAAGAGAAGGACGGCTGCTGCTGCTGTTACACACATTACATATATATATGTATATACACGCACACACACACACACACACACACGTATATAAATATAGGCGGCGGCAAATGCAAACGCGCAGCATCACCCATATACATGCATGGATGTATATATGTATATACCTGTAGGTACACGAGGAAGACAGCATGAGCCAGGCATCTCGCCCTTCTTTTGTGTGTCCCTCTCTCTCTAGTCCCGATATTGAAATGGAGTCATTTGAGTGTGAATAATTTGCTTTGCCGCCAAGAGAGAAAGAGAGAAAACTCGCCCCCGGGAACAACGCGAACACAGGCTGCTTCTGGCGTGTATATATATATAACCTTATATAAGGCTATATAGCCTCTCTGCTACTATACGCGCGCACACCGTTTCTGCTGAATATATATGTATAAACGTGCACGAGGAGGAATATTTCGCCGACGGACGGACGCTGCCGCAAACTCCTCCGACCGGAATAAAGCGTTCGGCTCCGCTTCGGTCGGACCCGATCCTCGGCGCGGTATATGGTACCCCCTGTGCATACTGTACGTATACAGAGGTCTACTGGCTCCTCTATACACGCTTGACACTTCTCCGATGCTCTTTCGGGTTCTGCTGGTGTATTCATTCGTCCGCCTACTGTCTTTTTCGTTTAGCTCTTGATCTTTTCGAAAACGATCGGGACGCGCTGGGGTGTCTTCTTTTTTACCCCCCCCCCTCCCTCCCTTTTTCAGGCTTTTTTCGCTTCCACCACTCCGTAGATTGCTGGACGTGGGATCGGACAAACACGAACTGTATGTAATCGACGAGTTTAACAACGATCGATCCATCCAAACGCGATTATTCGACTCCTCCCTTCCGATTCCGTATACTTTGCCGATATCACCGCGGTTTGTCCAAACAATCGTTTGCGTTTACTTAGAGCCGGTCGAGTTGCATTGGATCTATAAATAAACTTCCCTCGTATAATTTTAGCGTCCCACGTACGGGAGTATAATACGGCCAATGACGACGAGGACGATGATGATGATGATGATGATGATGATGATACGATCGGTAAGCGCATCATTGCGTGCGTGACTCACGAGAGTGACACAATGATGGCAATCGGGTCGAGTGTCATGAATATTCTTCGCGGGACTCGCGAGTATGGAATATCAGAAGAAGAAGGTATAAAAACCACGTCGATCGGACCTCCGATAAAACAATATTCTCAAAAATCGGCATGAAATTTCTCAACCTAAAATAAACAGCGCGGAACCATCACCATGCACGACTGGTATAATATATGTATATTTATACCTATAGAAAGCTAATCAAACGCTCGGAGAGCTGTCGCCTGAAGATCCTCAGAACAATATACTCCGGTACGAGTAATGGTAAGTAAATAAAGCATCCACACTCGGGAGCTCGAAGTATCTGGTGACGTCACACAGTATACACACGCCTCTTGATAAAATGCAAAGACCTAAAAAAAAAAGGATTTGACTCGCTCATAGAGAATCGCGCAGCTACCTATACACTTGGCAATCGTAGAATACAGGTATATATATACGTATCGTGGAGCATCATCGCAAAATCAGACGAATATATATATACGTAGGTATATTTGTGCTCGCACGGCCAATCATAAATTCAGCGGCGATCGTCGTCCGTGGTCGCATTCCCTCGTCACCTCGACTCCTTGTCTCTTGACACACCGCGGAGTTGCACACGATTGGGTATTCACGCGAATGAAATAGTCATGGGATGATAGCAATGGCATCTGAATGGATTAATTAAATTTTTTTCTTCTTTTTTTTTTATCATACCGATCCGAGATCGCTATTACGATTGCCCGCCAGTGCACTCGTCGTAGAGGGGAGAGAGTGAAATTCGCTCGAGGGCGCACGCGACAATCGTATCTTCCGATCTCTCAGGGTCAAGCAGCGTGGCTAAGTAGGTACTTTGTACCTATATACTTATACGCCTAAAAATCTCTCCGGCACTCGAGAGAAAGAGAGCAGCACACGCGACTTTGAGCGATAAGTGCGAGAGTGCTCTCTCTCTCTCTCTCTCTCTCTCTCTCTCTCTCTTAACCCGTGTCGTACAATGGGACTCTCAGCCGGGGATTATGACGCGCTTATTCCATTATGCAGTAGCGATCGACGTAATCAGCCTGCTTGTACGAGTGCGTACAGTATGGGTGAAAAAAAAAAGAACTGTATCAGCGAAAGATCGTCTCTCGATTCATGGCAGTGTACGCGTGTACGAGGTACGGATGATTTATAATCCCTGATTTTATTGCGTGAAAATACATACTGTAATTTATTCACGCTAAATACCGATTTTCTTGAGACTTGCTCTGATATCTGACGATCCTAAAGGCTGTCGTTTTACGAATTTCACGCTCTACATGTGTTGTAAGGCATCAGTAAAGTTCGGATGGAAACGGACCCAGTGTCTGTTTTACAGGCGGCCAAAACGATTGATGCTCGCGCCGGGTTCTCCACCGGCAAAAAAATCGCAAAGAAGAGAGACTCTTTTTGCGGAGTGTAAGAAGGTCGCGGAGCAGCGAAGGTGAATCCCTCGTACGCTTCTTATTTTCGGGATGAGCCGATTGCCGTATCGTGTACTCTCCTCCTTTTGTTAAGAGGCCAATGTCACGAGCGTCCGCGAGCGCGTGTGCGTTTTTTAAGTATGCAACGCGCGAAAAAAAAGTGTCGTCTCTCGGGTTCGCCCCCCCCTCCCTTTTTTTGGGGGAGGGGGAAAGGGGGAGTGAGGCCCGGTAGTCGAGGTGGAGGAGGAGACGGTGTACTATATAACCCGGTGGCTGGCGGTGTTCGGCAATCAGTCGCTTTCGGACAACACAAACGATACGTGATCTGCAGTGTCCAGCCGACGATTACTTGGCGAGCAGCGCGCAACATGAAGGTATTGTATTCCTACACACGCAATCGTTACGTTGTACGCATGTGTAGTACGTTGTCGTGACAATAAAAGTTACGTACAGTAAGTATAGTTTGGATGAAAAATTTCACAATGTTGAGAAGTTTATCGGTATTGACTCGCATTGAATTTTATTACGTGTAAAGTGTCCCCTACACTAGACGTAAATAAAATAAAGATTTTGTAACGTGGTAAAGGGGATAGTTTAGTATCATTTTTTTTTTTTAATTTCAATACGTAATAAATAAAATTTGGTCATCCATCTTTACTCGACAGGTATTCCTTGGTCTCGCTCTATTCGCGGCAGTGGCGTTCGCTGAGCCGCCACTTTACCAACCACAACAGCAACAGCAGCAACGATACTTCTTTGCCCGTCGGCAGGAAGAACAGGTCCAGGCAGCTCCGGGCCCGTACCCCGCCCGAGGCTGGAGACCCGAGGGTCCAGCCTTCAACCTCCCCGAGCGCCAGCAGCAGGCATCACCTCAAGTCGACAACGCTTACGGAGCACCTGCCCAGCAGCAGTACAGCCCTCCCAGGCCACAGTACGGTCCGCCAAAACCGGCCAGGCAGCAGTACAGTACCCCCAGCCAGCCCCAGGTGTCGGTCTTCAAGCCCCAGTTTGGAGGACAGCAGCAGTACACCCAACCCCAACAACAGTTCAGACAACCCCAACAGCAGCAGTACAATAGCCAACCCCAGTCGCAGTACGGCGCCCCCGAGTTTCGCACCGAGTCCACCCAGGACATCGAAGAGCCCACCACCGTCGGCCCGCTCGCCGAGTCCGAGGTCAGTGCAGTCCATATCAATCGTTGACGTGTTCAAACAACGACTAACACAATGCCATTGGTTTCTCTCCGTTCAGTCCGCCGTGTCCCCGAGCTCCGCGAGCGAGTTCGATGAGGACGAGGCAGAGCTCAACGAGGGCCAGGACGACGCCGCGGCGCCCCGCCAGCAGCAGGACCAGCAGGAGCGGGGCGAGTACTACGTGGCCCTGCCGGACGGTCGATTGCAGCGCGTGCGCTACGTCAGCCGGCAGGACGTGGAGGCCATGCGTTACTTCGCGAAAATCCGGGCGGAGAACGTCGAGCCCCTCCGCGGGCCCATCTACGCTTACTCGCCCCTCCAGAAGCTCGAGGTCACCCCGGGCGCCCTTACGCTGGGCGGCGGCGTGACCTCCCTCGCCGAGGAGCTGGACCCGAACACCCTCACGGCCACGATGCACGAGAGGCGGCCCGAGAAGCTGGTGGACGCGCCCAAGGTCGACGTAAAGCCCCTCGCTCAGCTCCAGATCCAGCACGACGCCCCGCAGCCCGTCGTGCCCCTCAGCTCCGGTTACGCCGCCTTTACGGCCGACTACCGGGTACCAGCGGCCCCCCAGGAGAGGTTCATCCTCGCTCTGCCTTAGATCAGCCTCCCTCTCCGAGTGTGGCTCCCGGGGAAGCTGCTCCCGCCGAGTCCATCTGTTTTCCTTGTTTTCTCAACCCCCCCCCCTTCCACCTTCCTCCCTGTCGCGTTGTAAATGCTGTACATTCATGTTTATTGTTTATTCTCATAGAGGCATACAGTAGTGCATAATAAAAAGAAAAGTATACATCGAATATTTTTTTCTACTTTTTTTTTAATGACTCTCCAATCAATGACGACGGTGCAGCGCCATCATCCAAGCTCCATGCAATGTGTTTTACGAATGCATTGGTCGTCGCGCGTCGTGAGGCAATACCATGATGCGGTGGAAGCGCGTGCGAGTGATTACATGTACATGTAAACCACGAAAACGTAACGTGTACGTATATACAGGCACATAAAAGACTGGCACGTGGAAGGAGGCGCGAGCCGCATGGGAATGAGATTTTTTTTTTTTTTTTTTTTTTTTTTCACAAAAAGTGCGAATGCGTCGCGGTATCGGGGCACAGTTGTTTCACCTATGTGTGAACAAAGCGTTGCGTGAAATAGTTTTGATGGAATTTGCAAAATTTGGAATATACGCGTGCATTCCGCAAATAAAGGAGGTACCCACACACGCGCGCGCCAAGCTCGGAGAACCAAAGGGGGGTGGTTGGTATATACAACCGCGCGACGCCGCAAAATTTCAGAAATTTAATATCAGCCCCGCGCACTTCGTGAGTCGTATACGTATATATATGGGTATCCAGGGGGATGCTGCCTCATCCTTCTCCTTCGATTTTTGCGACCAACTTATATACACGTACCAGCGGACGAAATGAAACTACGGTCGAGTGAAAACTTTTTTTTTTCGCCCGATGATCGACGAATCGTTCAACCCACTTTTTGTTTCGTTCAAGGATGAAATTTGCCTTCGCAACTTCGGCAACTCGATACCTCAACCAGTGCACGATAACATATGTTTAATCACACGGCCCAACACCTGCACCGGCGCTAATAAAAATTAATTTTTTTTCTTTTTTTTTTTTTTTTCTGTTTTTCCTAAAAACCCACACGCAGAGCCCGATAATCGCTTAATAAGCGCACGTAATGAGAAAAGTAATCCACAATGGACGCGGGGGGGGGGTGGAGGTATATGATTTGCGCGCAAATCGGTCGTCATATCGCTTGGACTTCAAAGCCGTCGATTCAAGCGGCTCCACCGTATAGCTCAGGGGTAGGGGGTGAAGGCCAATCGACCGGGATAATTAAATCTGTCCGAGAGCGCGCACGGCCGCGCTGGTATACACACACACACACACACACACATTCTACCAATTAAATATCGGCGCCGCGCTGACCAGCCCCTCGCGCGCGCATGTGTGGGCTTCCGGCTCGACTGACCGGCGTCCGAGGGAACCACAAAACTTACGGCTGGCTGGGCTCTCGCTTTCGGGACAACTTGCGGAGGACTCTGTGTGTGTATGTACGTACTCCTACATACGGGAGGGAGCATCTCTTCCGCCTCTTGTCACTTTTTTTTTTCTTCAAACTTCCTCTCATCGGATTTCTTCGAAATCGTCCTTTTGAATTTATCAAACGCATTTGTACGATTTGTTCCCGTGACGTGCATATACAAGGATACTCAACCGTACACGGTAACCTGGAATTTCGGTGGTTTAATTACAGTGGCCGCGCAAAACACACACACACATATAGTCACGCGCGCAATTTTCCGGCTCATCGATGATATAACTTGATTGTTGCAATCAGCGCGTGTGATTAATCGATTGCGCGCCCACCGAACTAATCGAGACGCCAAAGCTCCGTATATTGGAAAGAAAAATCCGATTCTATATATATGTGCGGGCGGATCTTTATCGCATGCAAGCTCTCTTTTTCCTCGGGGGATGGTGTTTTTTTTTTGTTTTTAAATGAAATCCAGTGCCTTCGATGGAAAAAGGAGATATGGGAGAGAGAAGAAAAAGAAAAGGACGGAGGGCAAGGAAAAGTCCGAGGGGGAAAAATTCCGGATCGAAAGAGCCATGGGAGCCGACTTCCGGAAAAATTAATATCCTGACCGAGCGCACGTGCGCGTGTATACATATACGTACAAAAGAGGGAGTGAAAATACCTCGCGTGGCGCGGAGAGGGTGTACAACGCTCGGCCAATGGGAGGACCTACAGCCGGCCGGCGCCGGATTGAAAACTCCGGGGGTGGATGGAGCTTTTGCGTAGGTGTCCGAAAACAAGGCTCGCAGGTATATACAGACGTGCATATTCATATTTTCACATGATACTATTTCGTTGGATGTTTGATCCATTTAAAATATCCACGTAGGATGATTTAAAAAAAAAAAAAAAAAAAAGTAATAAACAAAGGATTGTTCTCCCACACACATGTTATGCTTGTAAATTGAAACCAGAAGCCATGAGAATTCATAGAGTAGGTGTGTGTGTATGTATATCTATGAGAGAAGGAGGGAAGCGAAGAAAAAATTAGGTATACCTACGATCCATTGTATGAAAATAGATCTCTCGGCATTGGTTACACGTCCCGGTGAGCGGCAGCAGGAGCCCCGAGATTGAGATCGAAATTGTCCGCTCGACGATTGTGTTCTCGTTTTTCACGAAGGCCAGCCTCTCGTGGCGTCGTTGATTAATACACCGCAGATAATCGCGATCAAAGACGGAGAGGGGGAGGGAGAAAAAAAGAAGAATTAATTATGAGGACGGCGATGAAAAATTACGCTCGTCTTTTTCTCTCTCTCTCTCTCTTGTGTTTAAATAACGATGGTGGGGAAGGTAACTTTATACGTGATAAGGATCAAACGGTGTGTCAAGCGGAAGTTTCGTATGTCGAAATTCGAGAAAATTAGAAATTCATAAGCAGACTGGCAACTGTCGAAGGCAGTGCGTTTGAGCGAACCGCGCGCCTTTCAACAGTTTGCCCCCACACTTGGTAATTTACAGGCCGCTTGTGTACAAATGTGTGCTTGGCTTTACACTCGCGTTGGATATTTTATATATGTACAATTAGCACCGTGATCTCTTGGCACTAATCTCGAGTATAATTGACGTTTAATAGGGTGGTTTTAATTGTTTTTGTTCTCCTTGTGCGCGCTACTTTATCCTATCCCCAGTTAGTTTTAGCTTAGATTAATCGCAATTACCAACTATATCAAGTTACCCACTTATATTCTCTTGTAACGACTTCACTGCAAACACAGTGCTTACTTTAAAAAAAAATTTTTTATCATTTTTACGGTACTTTGGTACTTGGCACCTGTCGTACGCGCGTTCGTTTCATGAAAAACCTAAAGGGTACAAGGGAATGTATTTCAAAACATCGGAAGCTCTTTCCCTTGGGAATCTCTGCGTGAGTCAAGTTGGCACCACATGATGCCGTGAGTGGCCGCTCGACTTTAAAAAGCAAGTATACGCGTATACACCCGAACGAAAGGTTTGTTTTTTCGTGAGAACGGATGTGGTAAAATGCTGAGTTTCATGTGTTTTTTTTTTTTTTTTTTTTTGTATATCTGTTTTGATAATAATCGTCAATTCCCAGGTCAAATTATCAAGTGAAATAGTTTATGAAGAATACGATACTTTCATCGTCAACTGTCTACATTCCGTTAACTCGAAATGACAAGATTTTTTATAAAACAATAAAAAAAGTCCCATCGTCGGAAAAAAAAAAGTTTCTCCACATCGCGCAACATCTGGCACCCATTGGACATCCAAGAGCGTAGGTACACCCAAGTATACCGTATATATAGTCTCTCGCGTTTCCCCTCGTAGGTATTATACGCGCCCAACTACCCCGTTTTTAATCGCCGTCGTCTCATCTCCGCGACGACACGGCTCCCCGGGTGGCTTCGTTGTGCCCGCCGATGTCCCGTCGTTCGCTCCCGTGCCATTTGTTTCAACCCCCTCCCGTGGCCGGCCCCTCGCGAGATTAAGAAAATAGCGGGAGGCCGCCGGCATCTGCAGGTACGCGCGCGCTACACACATAGGTGGGAATTTCTCGAGCCAAGCTCTCCTTTCTTTTCTTTTTTTTTTTTTTTTTTTTTTTTTTTTTTTTTTTTTTTTTCGTCTCTATACGTACACTACCCCCTCACCCTTGCAATCAAAGTTCAGATTCGGCTCGTCTCTCTCTTGGCATTGTTGAACCCTCCTATGCCCGGCCCGCGTGCACTGCTGGTGCAGTTGATTTTTTCACGGTATATGCAGAAACTCACGGGTAAATTATAAAAGCTGCTACACCCGAGCCAAGGGAAATTACATTCTGGACGCGAGGCACGACCACGAGGAGCTATATTTCTAGACTATATCCAAACAGGTTCAACTTTTTCCAATGGGCATAATATATAGTTTGACACTCAATGAAAAATAAAAGTATTCAAAAGGAAATATCCCAATAGAATTTATTATTGCCGATAAGTGCTCGGAGAATAAAACTCTGAGGCTCATAATGATTGTTCGATTGACACTCTCGCTCGGTGGAAAAATGCCCCTCGACAAAGGGCACCCTGTACAAGAGGATCTCGTCGAAAGGGGGAGAAAAAACGGAGCTACCAATATGCGGGCGCTCGTTTGACGAAAGGATCTCGAAGCCTCTCCAATGGCAATGGTACACACGTCTAAATCGAAGCTTCCGTTTGATTCTACGTCCTTCCTTCGCACCTATACATATGTATACACACATCCATTGTCTCGAGGGCTTTGCTCGCGTGTACATCTCCGAAAGAGAGCTACTACAGTCATTTTTCTTCGTACTCCCTTCCCGTACATATGAAGCGTGTCTTTGAGACGCTCCGTCGGAGCTACGTGGAGGGTGACGATGGAACAGCCAAAGCGTTTATTTGGCGATTTTTCACGTAAAATTTCGCTCCCGCGTAGCGCAAAAGAAAAGGTCGAGCAACGAAAATTTAAAGAATGGAAAAAGCCACTCGAGACGTTTCGACACGAATTTCTCCCCCGGCAGCCGTGATTAAAGTGCAAAATATAAATATGTGACTGTATCGCACGAGCCCAACATCGATACCCCATCGGGCGTACAACGACATACCCTCGTCGTTATTTGGGTCGACCGATAAAATCAGCCCCCCT